AAAAAAAAAAAAAAAAAAGTTTATGAATTTTTACTGGGTGAACTGATTAATCCAGGTGTGGCTGACCTCAGTAACCATGGATACATTGGCCAGACAAACCTGGATTAATCAGTTCATCCAGTTTAAAAAGACATGAAATAAAAGCTGCCTTAAGTTCAGGAAGTGGTGGAGTTCTGCATAGAGCCCATTGTTTAAATCTTTAAAATAATTATTGCATCAATAGTTTTGGCATTATTTCATTTGGTTAAATATTTAAAAGACAATTTCAACTGGACCCTCTGAGTATTATACAACAGATATATACGTACCAAGTATCGGCATCGGTTCAATGTCGCTGATACCAGCCTGTATTTTACTCAGTATTGGATCAGAAAAAAAACATGGTGTGATCATCACTACTTATTGATAATCAGTAATTGATATTTCACAATTAAGTAGTGCTTTTGAGCAGGTTCTTTATTGTTATTTTTTAAATTGCTCCTATAATAAATTAATATAAAAACAATGTTATCCTGTAATCAAACTTTGACAAATATTTTTTATCAAAGGAAAACTCTGATCATATTCAGAATTCAAACTTCTGAAAGTACTTTAAATATGAAATTATTACATGCTGTTCAATAGATGTTTTAATTAAGAGTAATTTTCATTTGAATTTGCTTTACTGGAGACATCCATGTTTGTCAAAGAACATTACTGCCCCCTGCCGCTTTGTGACGTCTTGTTGCGGGATCGGCTGTTTAGCAAGTCCCAATGCTGTATCTGGTGTTTGTCACAACGTGCTATATTCCAAGTCATCTTGAAAACATTCTTCTTCGAAATGTTGGCTACATATTCATTTTTTTTTTTACCTGGCGATAATTTCGATGGCAAATCCTCCCTCTTAAATTGGCAATCCAATGACAAATCCGTCCGTGGAGGATCATGAATCGGAAAGGTGTAATAATTCTTTCCTCACTTTTAACCAATGTATTACAACATCCAACTGACATTCAAACGGGCATTGTCAGTTTAACTATGGCCCTCTGGAATTTCAATGGTGAAGTCCTCTTTAAATCTTCAATAATTGTTGATTGCAGATGTGTCTAGTAGTGTGTGTGTATGTGTCCCATCGATTATGCTTGTAAAGCAGAGAGAATGATGCTAGGCTTACCGCACCGTGACATCACTGTCGGAAGCTGTCAGAGTGAGGTGTTACTCATTCATTAAATTACCGCAAACGTATTAGTTTTAGGTATAGATAACGATCCATTGATTATTCCTTGCTGACCGGACTCTTCCTTCAAGAAATGGTGTTAAGAGTAACTTCTGAGTTTTCTCAGAATTTATTTTAATTTCTTTTAAATTTATTAAAAAAATGTGATCTGCAAAATGCAAGTTGAAAAAAAGCAATAAAACTGAAAATAAATTGAGAAAACGGTACTCAAACCATCCCCCCCCCTTCTTGAAAATGTCCGTTTTATATCTAAATCACATTTTTTTCCAATTTGAACAATAATGGAACAAAATTCACCCATAAGTGTTTTTCAGTAACCCTGCAGTTATTTGCAGCTTTCTTCATTTTATCAGCAGATGGCCCGTTTTTTTACTCAGAACATTTGTAATCAGTTTAAATTGAGTGTTTATAAAGGAATTTTTTTTTTTTTTTTCATGATGCACAGTGATGCTGTAGAAGTCTTTTTGTTTTTGCTTGTGGGACACATGAATTTCATTAGTTTTGATAAGTGTAAATTTATTCTTTCATTTATTACAATTCCAGACAGAAATGTTAAATCTACTATACATAATAGACTCTCCTGCATAAATTCTCACAATAATTGCACAACATCATCAGTATGATCCAACGGCAGACGGTCAGATTCTGGAAAAGCTGATCTGGGACGACGTATATCATTTAGGACTGGTTACCACAAAGGAAAAATATTACCAACTATAAAAAAACAAAAACAAAACAGAAGCATTTATCCAACAGAAATAAATATTTCAAGTCATTGTAGATTAAATACACGTCTTGATAAATCACTAACGAAAGATCAAAGCCAAAAAGTAAAAAGCAAAACCAAAAAATAATATAGTGTTCAAAGCAAAACCGATGCCAAAGGAGCCCACATCTTCGACTTTTTACCCTAAGAAAGGCAAATGTTCCTCTATCCACAGTTTTGTTGGGTTTTAGGTGAAAACTACAAAAAAAAAGCAAACAAATATTCTATGAAACTTTATTTGTCCTCCTCATGGATGGAAAAAAACAACCAGCAGGACTGTGAACCACGCTTGTGCTGCTTTCTAACCATGTAGTGTGTTTTTAAACATACGTGCTTAGAAAAGGTCTGAAATACAGGCATCATCATGATGAGAGCAGGACTTTAGCTGCATCACATGTGTACAGATGGACTATAGAGGAACCAAACCAATGATGATGGTTAAAAGCCAACAATCTTCAGCTTCTCTCCCCAGTTCAATCACTTCATAAAAAAAGGTCTGTTCAGGATTAAAAGCAAACAGGATTCACACCCTCTGGGCTTAAAGCAAAGCTCTCCTGTTAAAAGCACCAGACATTCGATGTCCGTGTAGTTTGAAAAGAGTCCAGGATGTGGTGACCTGACAGATTTATCTTTGACAATCTGCTTAGAAATGAGTGAAAACAGAACGAACTCCGGCTGCTGCTCCATTTCTCGTCAGTTACAGAGCGCTTCTCAGTCTGGGAGCGTCTGGATGGAGGAGCAGGGCGGCGGCAGTGCCACGGCATAGTGTTCTTAGTCAGGCTAATGGGACAGAGGGGAAGGGGTGTAGTGAAGAGGGGACATGTACAGAGAAGTGGCGGCGGGGATAGCTGAGCCCTCTAGCAGGAGCAGCCTCCTTCGCTGACGGGCTGCTCAGGAGGTTTCTCCAGCTTTATGTCGATCACTGCAGGATTGAGGGGTTAAGGAATACAGACCAAAACAAAGAACAAAACATACATGCTTCCAGAGACCATCACAGCCATTCTAACGGTTTAAGCAGCTAAGACGGGGGCCACTAGGGGCCAGGGCCACTGTATAGAGCCACCAATGCTTCTACTTCTAATTATGAGACATTATTTTCTAGATTAAAATATGACCTGATTGTTTTCATAAAAGGATTTGTTTATGTGGACAAGATGAACTGCTCTGTTTGTTCTGGTGCACAGAAGAAACTGGTAAAGTGCAGAGAAAATATTTTGCTTTGCTTGTAAATTATTTTGAAACAGTATTTAGTTAATTCCTCCAGAAGGTCCTTTTAGTTTTCTCCGGCAGGAAGCACAGTGGTGGAAGAATGTGGTTCTACACGTCAGCTTTTGTGTTGCTCTGGGTTCTGGTGATCAGAACGGCTTGAAAACTGTTTCCACCTTCTGCAATGTAGAATTAGTTTACTGCAGGATGTTCTTCCAGGCGCAAAAACCACATAATGCAAACCATCCCTTAGCCAATGCAGAAGATGCCGAAAAAGATGGCAAAAGATTGCTTTGGCAGAATTCAAATGAGTGATGTGAATCTATATCAATCTAGATGAATTCCAAGATTAGTGAGATTAACCTAGATTAAAAAAATGATCTATGCCCACCACTAGTACAAAGATATATAGTACTTTGATTTCCTAGTTGTGAACAGTTTCCAGACTTTTACTGAAATACTTTTCCTATCAGTAACCTTCACTTTTACCAAAGTAATTTTATGTTGAGGTATTTTATTTGTTTCATTAAGTACTTCACACATCTCTGAATATGCTGTAAAAATGCACTATGGCCATTTATCCTTGTACGTGTATCACAAAAACACTGCTCTAGAGACTGACATTTTTTCAGGAATCCCACGGGTCACGGGATTCCCGTGGGATTCCCCTGGGATGGGAGTCAGTATTAGTAACGATCACGTGATTGGGACGGTACAGGATTAAACATTAACGGGAGCAGACGGGAGCGGGAGCAAACCGATAGTAATTAAAAGAAACTAGGATCGATGCCAAAAAATAAAATAAAATAGAAAGAAAATAATCCCGTACTGGTGCCGCCATTTTGTAGTTTTTTTCCTTGAATCCTACACTATAATGCGAGTCAAAAAAACTACACGACCCAAAAACCAACAGGGCTTCCGCTCTGAGTTTTTCACCCGCGCTCAAAAACAAGAATGGGAGTGGAGCAGGAGCGGGAGTCATTCTGAATGGGAGCGGGATGGGAGCGGGAGTAATTTCACCAGGAGTGGGACGGGACAGGATTTAGATTTCTACTCTGGCCCGGGATCGGGACGGGACACCATTTTTTTCTGTGGGAGTGGGACGGGACAGGAGTGAAAATCCACTCCCGTGTCAGTCTCTACACTGCTCCCCTCGGAACCAAGTTACTAACTCAGTTACTTTATTTCGAGAGGTAACCAGTTCCTTTTTTAAGCAGCATTCCCAATTGATTGTAACTCCTTCTTTTCTATGAACATATGATTTAATACGAGGCGACATCATAGAGCAGTCAGACCTCTTCAGTCCACTGTAGATTATGCAGAGTGCACAAAGGATACTGTCCTCTCTGTTCTTGTCCTGCGTGGCGTCCATGCCAGGGAGGGCAGCCGCCACGCGGCGGAAAAGCTGCAGAGACGAGAGGATGAATGTGGTCAGGAATATTTTAGCACAGACCAACTAGTCAAAACAAGCATGCAGGCTGCGTCTGAGTTCACCTCAAGCTTGCACAACAGGAACACACCCAGCAGAGCTTTTTTCTTTATTTCCAATCTGACTGTGATTCATGAGCTTCTCTGGGAGCTTCTGCATGAACATGCATCTGATAAGTAAGCAGGCCTGAAGAAAAAGACGTAACTAGTGCACTTTTCTGGTGTAACTGATAGCCGGGCCTCATCATGATGCACAACATGCATGTCTCCAATAAACTGCATGAAATGAAAAATGCCCATGACGAACTTTTCACAGCAACAAATAAAAGCATTACTGCAAAGATAAAGAAGCCACTCATTGGTTTGCAAACTCTGACCCGTCCTGCAGACTTTGGATCAAACTGGCCAAATGATTCCCTTCACCGACCAGGACAGAGCTTGGAAAGCAAATTCAAGCTCCTTGTCAGAAACGAATGCCTAAAGCACGTTTGCACACATGCATGTGGAGAAACGGGCGCGCGCACCCTATACCTGTTTGACATTGTAGCCTGTCTTTGCACTCGTTTCAATAAACAGAACATTCATCTCTTTCGCTCTCTGTTCTCCTTCCTCTGTGGTAATCTGTCTGTGAGTCCCCACCGACACCGAACCCCACCGTGACGCGCATCACAGACATCAAAACAGACAAGGAAAAACAAACATGGATTGTGAATACATTGCAATGAAATAAAAAGCCGTGCTCCTCCCTGCTGCTGCTGCCGCCGTCGCTCACCACCAAAAGCCTCCCACTGCAGCCCTCTGATTTGAGGCAGCAGTTCAAAGCTGGATCAGTGTAGACGGAGCACAGAATGGGTTTTAGTGGGATTGGATGTGGCAGACACAAAGGGGAACATCTTTATAGAACGGATGGATTTCAGTATTCGGGAGCTCCCACCACTCTGACAGGGCAAAGTAAGATGAAACCGAAACCTAACGACTGTCCTGGTTGTGGACTCAGAGGTTCTTTAGGGAACCAGCATCATGAAGATCGAGGAGCCCAGCAGGCAGCGAGAGGCGGTCAAAGCAGATCCATTAGGTTCTCCTACATCAACCTTCAGCTGGGAAATTGGCAACAGGAAAGCGCCATTTGTATGGGCTCGTTTTTTTCTCATTATGCTGGGGAAAAAAAATGTTTTGTAAAAAAATGTGATAAAAAAAAAACTGCTTTGGGTGCAACTTTTCTGTTTTCTTAGACTTTCACATAATTTATTTTCAACTTTTCTTTTTTCACATTTTCAGTTTTGAGTTTTAGGATTCATATTCTTCTCAAATTACCTTTAACATTTTCTTTACTTCTGTGGGCGGGCTTTCCACTGAAGTAAAGACTAATTTCTATAGGCCAAAAACGAGTGTTTGGCTTAAATCAAATCTGAAAAATTTAAAGGTATAGTAGAGGATGTTCTTTTTCCAGGTGGATCATCAAAATAAGTGGTCCTCCTAACTGTCAGTCATTCTGATGATATGTTTACATAAGGCCGTCCTACGTGCTCATCCCCATTTCCACTTACTGGTGGTGAGTCTGACAGAGTGGAAAAATTGCAAATGTCCTTTTAAAAAGTAAGCTTGTATGAGCGACGCAAACAGCAACTTTTAAACAGAGCGTGCACAATGAGAAATGAGCTCGTGCACGATCTCTCGCTCATTTAATAGGCGTTCCCTATCAGGAGCGGGTACAATATGGAACAAAGCGGGTACAATATGGAATATGGAACAAAATTGATTCCATACATTTGTAGTTTAATTTTAAAGTTTCGCAGTCAGGCTTATTTGTGGCTACAGAAAAAGACCAAAAACTATTTGATTCCGTTAAAATATGGCTCTAAACACCAAATATCCATCCTGACAGAGTTTAGTCCCTTTTGAGCTTGAATAGTTTCAGCACAAGGCACAATGTGCAGACACAAACAGATGTGGTGCCATATGCTGGAAGTACCACAAAACTACCAGAGGGAGGCAGTACGAAGCTACCTTTTTATGGCTATCTTGCTAAACCAAGCAGATATTTAATTTTTAACAAGCTACTTAAATTATTTTTAAAATAAAATCTGTGTCAACAATTGCTTTTAGAGCTCACTGCTGTAAGCCATTTGTGGAGCAGCATTCAATCATGAGATAGATTGCTGTAGCTTTCCTTGTAACTGGGATGGGAGTGCCCTCTGCAGCCACTTTATTGAACTGCATGGGGAGTGGTGGCCTAGTGGTTAGGGAAAAGGGGTGATACTGACACAAGCAGCGGTGTTTACATTTGTTTTAAAGAACATTTTTTCATATTCCTGCAGTCTTTGATGACTTTCAAACCAAAAAGATCCATCCATCCATCCTGACTGAGCCAATACTGACCAAGAACAGTTGAATAAAACCACATAAAGGATTTCTCACATCTGTATTAATAAAAATGTTAAAATCCAATTAGACTTTTCCTTCCGCTTCACATTTATGCATAGCTTTGAATTGTATACCCCTAAAATATTCTGAAGTTTAAGGTTTTCATCTAAAAACACTAAAGATGCTAAATATATTCCAGTAAAGAGGGTCAGAGAAAAAGATGGGCTGGGAGATATCCGCCCATTTGGGAGTATCTAAAACCTTTTCCTTTCGCTCTCTTTTTGCTCTGCAGAGGGAAACTTTTGGTGGAGAAGCTCAGGCTGATGAAACGACAACAGGACTTCAGAGCACGGCTCAGACACACCCTTACCTGCTTCACGTTGTAGCCTGCTTTTGCACTAGTCTCTATAAACATTACATTTAGTTCTTTGGCTTTCCGTTCACCCTCCTCAATAGATACTTGCCTGTGGTAGATAAGTAGGTTAAAAGATGCACAGCCAGGGAGAAGACAATACAAGTTTTTATCATGAACAGACAAAACATTAAAAACAAAATCATCCATCCGTATCAGATATGTGAAAAAAAAAAGAGAAAGTCGGTTATTTGCTTATGGAGTGATTTTTGTTCCATTATTGTTGCAACTGAAAATTATATTTGTTTTATGCAATTCCCGACTTGAGAGCTATAGTATGACGGACCACCGATAAGAGGCGAGGAACCGTGGTAGCGTGATGTGTAAATCGTCATAAGAACCGAGCTCAGCTTGGTTAACTGATCCAAGCTTGTGCCGAGGAGTATTGGAAATGGGGCATATGGGCCACCCTGGACAGGTCACTATGGCAACAGACTGTATACGGAAAAAATACAATCTAAAATGAAAAAAATTAAATGCAAAGTCATTCAAAATCCCTTTTGGACCTTTTTAAAGCATTATTTTCATGGATTTCCTTTTTCCCCCTCAAATTTTCATTTATCGTATTTTCACGACCATAAGGCGCACTGTACTAAAAGGCGCACTCTCAGTTATGTGTCCCATTTCTGTATTTAACACACACATAAGGCGCACTGTACTAAAAGGCGCACTCTCAGTTATGTGTCCCATTTCTGTATTTA